AGAGAGAGACCCAGCCACGGGGCGGCAAGCAGCCATCTCTTTCCGCTCCACATCAGTAATTTTCCTTTTCAACCGGGCGGTCAAGGCTGACCTCGATCCTCCCACATTTAAAAAAGGGAGACAGAATATGTTTGTGAAAAGCCGATCAAAGACCTTATTCCATGATCAGATTACCTTTTATCCTCATCGTTCAACGCACACACACGACCCCCCCCCCCCCCCCCCCTTCCATAGAGGGTCAGTCCCCTCCCACGCCCGCCCGAATGCAGGAAAGTTCCTCTCGGCGCAGGCAAGGGCGCGGCGGCAGAGCTAACGGGATGAGACATGTCGTGCGAAGAGAAGTAAAGATATATGAATTGCTCAAGTGTCTGTTCTGGGCCTCTTTCGCTTTAATGTCCCCCCTATTTTATCAATTAATATGTTCATCGGCCTGTTTGTATTTCTACTAATGTATTTTGTCTGTTTTCTCCTGTCTCTTTCCTCTTTTCTCTCAACTCCCTGTTCTTCCTCTTTTGCCACTTATCTTTATTTTCTGGGGAAGCAGCTGAATATATCTGATTATCTCTGCACTTGGTCTAGAATGCATTTAGATAAGAACAAGAAATGCATTTCGCAGACCTTGTCAGCTCTTGCATCTTCAACCCGATCAGTGAAAATCTGCGTTCAAGCAATAATAAAAAAAACTATTTTTTTTTAAAGGATGAGACATCACATTTCTGAGTCCGAACTTGAATACGAAAGTAGCGTTTCATCCGTCTGCAGAAAATTGCGTATTCGCCTCTGCGAAGGAGCGCGTGAGCTTGGGGACCCTGCTGCGGAATGGCCGAGGGCCGCTGGGTACATGATGGACCTATTTGCATTCCGCGCTCATTGCGACGTCAGTACGTGAACGCGGCTCCCACGTGAGGCTCGGTCGGGCATTTTCACCAGAGGGGTTTACAGGCGTTGCGCATTTTCTTGCCCCGTTGCGTTGCCTGTGAGTAACTTCCTGGTGTTGGGCACCCTGCCTGGCGTCTGAGGACGGCCTCGCAGGATACGCACGAGGGCGCGCTGCCACCGCCACGCTGCGCCTCTTCCGGAGCTGCGCTTAGAACCACGCTTATTGCACACCGGTTAAAGCCCAGATGATAAGTATGTGCACTGAAACAGCACACTGGTGAAGTGGTGCATCTAAAAGCAGTATTAACGTTTTCATGTTCTAGTTTCGTTACTTGCTTTTTAGGCCACGGTAAGACACGTATTCATAAGGACTACTTCATTTCAAACGAGTTTTGCTTGCAACCTTCTAAATCAATGGCCCAAAAAACACAAGTTCTGTGCGGAGCCAATGCACCATCTTGCCAATCGCAGTGGAAAAGTTTGTGATCAGCTGGCCGTCTGCAGCCTTTCCTCCTAAGACTCCAGCGGGAACCAAATGAGAGGGGAAGGCGTAGGAAGAGAGAAAAAGATAAAAGAGTAGAAAGTGACAAGAAGAGAGAAAGGGAGAGGAGAACAGTGATTGATAATTTAGTTTAATTCCATCTTTTACTATGGTTATTCTTTGCTATAACACTGTCCTCTGTTTATTTTGCTTCTAAAGGAGAGAGAGAGAGGGCGGGAGGGAAGGGGAAGAGGAGAAAGAGAGAGACAGAGTGTGGGGGGGGAGAAAGAGAAAGAAAGAGGGGAGAGAAAGAGGGAGGAGAGGGGGAAGAGAAGAGAGAGAGAGAGAGAGAGAGAGAGAGAGAGAGAGAGAGAGAGAGAGAGAGAGAGAGAGAGAGAGAGAGAGAGAGAGAGAGAGAGAGAGAGAGAGAGAGAGAGAGAGAGAGAGAGAGAGAGAGAGAGAGATAGATAGATAGATAGATAGATAGATAGAGAGAGAGAGAGAGAGAGAGAGAGAGAGAGAGAGAGAGAGAGAGAGAGAGAGAGAGAGAGAGAGAGAGAGAGAGAGAGGAGAAAGAGAGAGAGAGAGAGAGAGAGAGATGTTCCTGGGAGACTGCATCGACATCGCCGAGGCAGCCTCCTCAGTTCATCGGAAAATTCCTGCAGAGCCGACCTCCAGCGCACTCCTCGGCCCTCTCTTGAGCCAAGGTCGTGCTCGCCATTTCCAGGGTCATTTCGTCTCTTCGCATCTTAGACCCAACGACTTGAGAATTGATTGGATTTCTGCGCCATTCATGCTTAATCATTCTGTAAGGCTTCAACATTCATTTACATTCAAATACAGTTTGTGTACACATACGTGCATACATTATATATATATATATATATATATATATATATATATATATATATATATATATATATATATATATATATATATATATATACATATATACATACACACAAGTGTGTGTGTGGTTGTGTGTTTGTGTGTGTGTGTATGTGTGTGTGTGTGTGTGTGTGTGTGTGTGCATATATATATATATGTATATGTATATATATAATATATATATATATATATATATATATATATATATATATTATATATATATATATTAATGTAGATATAGATATCGCACCT